GACAACCTCAGTTGAAAAATTCGTCACAAACTAGTTAGCGTAGGTTACAAACAAAATGATACTACATCATTTTGTGAAGAGTAAAAGAACATCCATTGAATAGACTCGCAAAAACGGAGGCAAAAATGTTATAAACATATTTATTTCCAAGATTCATTATATCGTACTATAGTGATATTCACAGCCTTATAAAACAAATAAGGGAATAATAAAAATGTCAGTAAAAGATTCTGTGAATAAATTCAATTTTAATATCTGTTGGCAGAGTTAGATTACTATAAAATGATGACAAACATGTACCGGGTATATTGAGAAGAAGTGTTGAACATTGAAGATTTCAAACATGAACTAAGGAGTTAAAACATCAAATACACTATCATCAACTTATTCTCACTCCTTATCTTTACTTTGAATCACAATGGTTAAAGGGCGAGAGTCGTCGCGCCATGCAATAAATGGTTCTCATATAAACAAAGATGGCGACTTTGACTGTTGCGTATTAAATTCAACGAGTACAATCTGAGACGTTACAAAGCTTTAATTAGGTATTTTTAGTTGATTGGAAAGTTTTAAAGGAGTCACTGGGGGTAATTAATGCAGGTCAAACCTCATACTGATTTTCATTGGAAGAGCGCATTGGATTGTAGGAAAATCATGGTTCATCAACACAAATGACACATGCGCAGCACGACGACCACCACCATTTAAAAGATTTACTGTGTATAAAACACATTGTCCTTTTATTTTATTAGAAGCATATCTTCAATAGAAGTGCACATAAATTCACTATTGCTAATTTTATGATAGATCAGCAAAACTATAATATTAATTTTTCTGTCAAGTGCATAAATTAAAAGAATACATTTTAATCAAATCAATAAACAGTGATTGATTCATTTTTCTGAATAAAAACTGATAATAGAATTATGACCAGATACACCTCTGCAATTCACATAAGAAAGTACGCTGCTAATAGAGCAAATATGGTACATGCATCTCCATTGTTGATGAAATCTGATCTTTGATGGCAATACCACCATATTGACACCATTAGTGGAGCATGTATTTATGTAGAGTGACAGAAGACTGGTTCACATGACAGAGGTGCGATTATGGTTACAGTACATTGAAGATTTAATTATTGCAATTATTAGTTTATGTGAGTGACTTTTAAGATAGACTTCTTAATAAAGCAAATATGTCAATACATTAACCTCCATTGCATTTCAAAGCAACATGATAAATATTAATGTTCCTGTAATTCAAGTGAAAATAATTCTTTTAATAGTATATTAGACATTAACAAAATCTTATCCAAACTGTAAATTCCTCAAATTCATCAAAATTGCACATCTAACAAGGGTACTTTAGAAACAACATTTAGAAGCAGGGAGAGAGAGAGAGGGGTGTGATTTGGAAAATTCTTATTAAGGTAGCGGGACTATTATTTGCATACTTGTTTTCATCTTCTAATTGTGACTAAATGACTACAAATAGACCCGGGAAAGTATATATTTTTAGAATCGCCAGACTTCAAGCTTTTCACAAGTATATTTTGCATGCCCGTATCTGCATTCTACGACGTTTTACTCAATCAAAGGCGAAAAATTACTTTTTCTGTAAAAAAAAAAATTACACATTTATGCTGGCGATAAGAAGTATTTTTTTCACTATTCCTAGTTGTTCAATAGTCTGGTAAATTGAATGTGTCTGGTTAGTTTTATTCAAGCAATGCGTTTTAAAAAATAGTGTCCTGCATTTCAATTACTTTTTTAGTCGCATTGCCCCCAACTCAAACCACAACTCGTTGGTAAATAATCGATGAAATAGTTTGTCTGGACACATTCAAGTTCCTCTCATTGTCACCTTAAAGCTGTGAAAATTTGGTGTTAATCCGATGACAATAAGTATAGGTTATTTTTTGTTAAAGACCTTGTATTTTGAAAAACATAAACTCCTAGAAAACGTCCATGAAGTAACAGCAAAGATTTTCAAGCTTGTTTATCGGCACAATCAATTTGTTTTCCCATCAAGGTCTGTTTTACCATGTGTAGGGACATCCAAATGTGTAAGGCTATTGGAAACCAAAAAAATAAAGGAATGGGATAGCTATAATTGGATAAATTCGGCATATGAAAACACCAAAATCAATGATTTTTTTCAGTGGCTGTGAGACCTTGTGTCTGACACATTCATATGCAAATGACTAATCTGTGAAACAAACAGGGGCGGAGACAAACCACTCAAATGTTTGGAAACACTCATTGTGTGTCAGATAGCTACTGATAACACATCCTAACATTGCTTTGTCTTGAGTTTATCTTTGAAACTTATAGGCACACAGATTAAACCTGTGTTGTTGATTTTGGAAAACACTACTGAGGCTGCCTTGCTTCCCTTCAGAAAATCTACATTTTAACCAACTTACATGACATTCTATGTTATATTGACTTTATCATATGAAAGTTTATGGTGCATTTCATCAATTAATAAATAAATGTGAAAATCGTAATTTTCAACACAAATAATAGTCTCGCTACCTTAAATTGGAGTTATTCAATTTAACTCTACACAAAGTAATGGAGATCAACAAAAAAATATCTTCCTCAAATTTTGATGTGAGTATCTACACTTTATATCCCCATTTTTTTAATTAGAAGTAATTGGTTAATAATTTCAACCAATGATAGTTTTATCCAGATCTAATATGGAGCAATATATATATATAAAATACAGTGTTATGTAAAAACAAGTGTGTAGATACATAATAATGAATATTACAAAAATTGGTACAGTATCAAAGATACAAAATAATAAAGTATATTATTTGAATTGAATTTATAAAAAAAAGCAAATTATATTAAGTCATAAGCCTAAATGGCTAAAGTATGCATCAACTGTTTGAGTTGGTAGTACATACTCTAGAGGGCGCTGCTCAGTCAGCTGAGAACTCAATTTGCTCTGCTTGCAGTATCTGGTAGTTAAGTCACAGTTTATAATATCAGCAATTTAGTGTTCTAATACATTCAATTTCATATTAGCTCTATTAGTAGCAGGGTTTTTAGCCAGAAAATGAAAAGTACCTGCCTAAAATCTATATTGAAATGCAAGTTGGTCTGTAGCCACAGGCTGATTATTCATAGCTACCGGTATTTGGAGAAACTGGAAATTTTCAATCAAAGTTGAGAGGTTTGTAGAAATTTAACATGTCAAATCAAATTCTGTACATATCTGAAATGACAGGCAGACATGCAGGTGACAGGGCAATAGCGTGAATAGTAGCACATGCCCTTATGTAAATTAGTAATTTTTCCTTGGTCAATTTAAGTAATATTTTAATGATTTAACATACCAGCCAATGTGATTTCTGGTTTATATGCACTTCTATAGGAGCTACATGTATGCTTCTATCAGAGGTAACATGGTATTAATATCCATCTTTTTTTTCTCATCTTATTTTCTCATTTTTTATTATGAAAGATTTTATAGTGTTGGTTATCACAAAAGTTAAATAATACACAATATGTGTATGTGATAAAAATAATATTGAA